CCCCCCCACTCTTTTTAAATAAGCCACAACATTTTTTCTTAGCTGTCATTAAGCACTTCTTTATATTAGACACTAACATGGAGAAGGGGCTGAATCTAAATCTAATTTTTTAATGATTTCAATGCTGAGGTCTTTCTTTAGAGAAGGATAAAGTTGTCTCCATTGCATTAAACCCATCATATGTATTAGGAGTAGCAGGCAGCCACTGTGTAGCACCCAGTGATCAACTCCAAATATAAACCAGTGCCTCAGTCAAAGACATAGTGAAAGAAGAACATGTAATTTTCTGCACAAAGGGGCCCGCTGCGCCAACATCCAGCCTTGCAGTGCTGTCAGCGCTGAGAAGCATTTTGTTCATGGTTCCTTGAAATGTAGGAAAAAACTGAAGTGTTTTTAAAAAATCATTATTTGTGGAAACAGCTATGTGGGCGATGACATTGCATGGTCATTGATTCCTTCTCTAATGTGCAATCAGTGAGAAAATTTTGTGTTTCAAACTGGTTTTTATTTACATTCGATTTTTGCATGTATTTTAATGAAGATGCAGTGAAGAAAAATCATAACCATGATCACAAGCATTTCATATGAGTCTGAATGTGCAGTGGTTATCCTCCTCCTTGATAATTTGTGCAGTTCTCTGTAGAATACGGGATAAACGCTTCTGGTCCAAAATCCTGATTGATGATATTAATGTTCAAAGCACCGTTTGTGGGCTTCTGTGTGTCCACCCATAATTTATAAAGTGTTTAAGGTCACTATATCACTATATCATAGATACATGTGAAAAATAATGAAAATAAAAACTGGAATTAGAAACTAAACTGTATAAAACACAAAGTTTGTGCTACTACCAGAAACACAAACATAGGAGCCAGGGGAAATTTCCCTTCTTTCATTTCGTAACAGTCATTTATGTGTCTGTGTCACATTCAGTTTCATCAATCAGTGATCAAACGCCTGCTTGACCTCGTTTCATCTAAGTCTCTTGTTTTTGTGCTTCCACCTAGCGGTTATATTTGGAACGACATCATTACAAGAATCCATCGGTTAGTTTCACTTCCGTTGCTTTTGCAGCAGCAGTTAATGTTAGAAATGCCAAATGAAATGATATTAGCAACCTGGTGAATTCTTTTATTTCTTAAAAAATATATTATTAATCGAGCCCCTGCAGCTGCTTACAGGCTAGTGCAGCTCCGCATCAGCTAAAGTTGGCACCAAATTCTGGGCAAATAGATCAGAAAATTGCAAACTGCATTTCTGTGCATCTGTGGAATCGCTGAAAGCAGATCAAACAGCTCGCCTGACTTAAACCTAAAAATTCCCAGAGCTCATCATCTATCTAACTCTCTCCTTCTCCCCCTTTCTCCCTCATTCTCTCTCTCCTACAGAGACCCAGCCGGTCCGGCTGTCCTCCCTGCTGCCATGGCCGCGGAGGCTGCCGGTAGGAATGATGCCACGCGTGGACCTGCAAACAGCACAGAGATGGAGGTACGGGTAAGATGCTTTTCAGGTAGTTTGGGTCGCTGTCTTTTCGCGGGAAGCCTCCAGGATCGAGGTGGTCCCTCGACAGCAGGCCTTGGTGCGCCGCTGCAGAGATGGAGTTGGGATTTATTTTTTCATTTTGTGTCACATTTCAGGCCAGAGCTCCATTTTTTCCCGTAAAGCAGGGAGGGTGGATGAGGGTTATCTTTCAGAGGGGGGGCAGAGAGCGACCGCTGAGCATCGCAGCGCTGCTGCAGCGCTCACGTCCTGCGTGAAAGGGAGAAGTGAAAGCGCAGCAGCTGGTCGGCTGCAGAGGGCTCGGCTTATAAATAGCCCTTCGTTGACTTCTCTTTCACAATTTTTATTCGGCAAATGTGTCTTCCTGAATTCGGAGAGATTTAAATACGGCCGTCAAGTCTGTTTTCTTCCACTTGGTAGTGACGCAAATTGGCAACAACTTGGCAGGCAAGGTAGGAAATTCTTCCTGATCAACAGAGCAGAGCCTGTTATGAATGAAAAGCGAGCCTCTGCTGGGCTGATCGAGGTCATTATCGCAGTGTACAAGCAAAAGAGGCAATGTGGTGTTTTCATCAAGTATAGGTCTGTCCATCTGGTCAGATGGGTGGAAGGGTGGGATTGCTACAAAAAAAAATGTGTTAGGAGAAAAAAAATCACGCTCGTAAAATATGTCATTAGTTTTTTTAAATTTTATTCCCAAGTATTATTTTGGGGACATCAGAAAACATACTGATGATTATGGAGCGCTACTGAGGTTATAGCACCTGTTAAAGTGTGTGTGTGTGCGTGCGTGTGCGTGCGTGCTATTGGCGTCTGTTCTTCATGCCTTCTTCAGTTGCTGGCTCTCAAACTCAACCTGTTCTTCCACTTTGCATTCATGCAGACGAGATGTTTGTGTCAGCTAATGTTCAAATGCTCTTTACCTGTTGACTTCAGTCTTTGGCCTCACTCCTCAGATGCTCTTCATCCCTTCCACATCTCCCTTTTTCTCTACATCGTGTCCAATGGTGAGTTTGTGCTCCTTCAATCGGTTTGGTCTCCTCTAGATGAGGTTAGCCTTGTCTTTTTTCCAGGCCTTTCTCATATTCAGTGATGGATAGTCAGCGTTTGTTTGCATTTTAAATCAATGTGTCATCTGAAGTGGTTACAGTTGCCACACAGAATCAGGGTGACATGTCTGCAAATGTAGGCTAAAGTGCCAAAGGTGAGGCTAACCAAATGCAGCAGATTATTCACTGCAGTCTCCCTAATCTCCTTGCTGGAAAATGAGAGATTCTGGATTAAAGGAGGGAGTTTGGTGGAAACCCGTGAAAGAACGCCGTCATTAGAGATTACTGGACTCAGGATTGTTTTACGACCCACATACTTTGTCTGATGCAGCTTTGTAGTGATGCAGAGAAATTAACAGGAACATGAGAGTATGCTTGGCTGTTTCTGTGTGTTGTTTGGTCAGAAGTGAGATTTGTATTTGGCTTTTGGATGAAAGGGCAAACAACTTTCTCTTCCTGCCTGTTCAATTGTTTGGTGATTGGCTTATGAAAAATAACCGTTTGTATTTTCAGCTTCTTGCACTGAAGTCTTTCAAATCCAGCCTTGTTTCTCCTGCTGAAGGAGCTGCAACCTCCAGGGGACTAAAACTCATTCAGGAGTCAAATGTTGTTACTTTAACAGTAATGATGGATATTTTATTTGTAGAGATGGCTAGGCTACACAAAATTATGCTTTTATTTTTAACAAGTTGAAATTTCCATTTTTGAAAAGCAGAAAATAGCACGGTACAGTATGGGAACATCATCTAAACTCAATTTATTTGTGGGTATATAAGTGTTAAATATGTGTAAGCATTGGTTAACTGAGGTTCTGGAGAGAATTACATCAACATGTTATGGCTATAAAAAAGACACACTTATGTCAAGGGTGGTTTCCCCATATAAACTAACAGGTATTTTGTAACTATAAGGAATGGAAACTTCCTACTTTCAAATTCCTTGCATTTGTAAACATAACTGGCCAGTTCAGTGGGAAGATTCGTCTCTGTAAGTGGCCACTTAAATATTTTTCAAACTTGTGATTGAGCCTAACCGCCGTGACAGGCAAACGTGTTTAAGTGAAGCACATGTAAAAATTGTGGCAAATTAAGTGGTCGGCTCTTCCTGGTGGGAATATTTAATGATGGATGCACTTCATTTCAAGCACTTAATCAACAAATAGGAAAACATGTTAGAAATTAAAATGTGGCCACAGAAATTTGTTGTAGGAAACTTTTTTTTGCGGCATCTTCTAATCAATTATTTGTAGAAAGAGGAAGACTAGACAGTTATCCTACTTCCTCTTTGTATTTCAGTAAAAGCCTTCACCACAACAAAACCTTCACTTCATGTGCAGAAACGAAATGCACAAAGTTAAAACTTTTACTTTAGGTTCAGTACATGGATGCTCTGTGTTTAACACAATACAAGACTTTGTGTGTCATTGCATAAACGTTGCGAAAGGTTGACTATAACTACAGATTATCTGCAGCATATTTGACATTATTTCACTGTCATATTTCCTGCTATAAATCCTTCCTTATCGGAGGAATACAAAAGCAGCGAGGTACATATTCTCCACTAAAGAAAATATTATTTAAAGATATTTGGAAGGTTTATGCAGGTGACAATATCTATATAGACTACAGCACGAGAAATCATTGTTGTAATGTTAACTCTGCCAATACTGAGCATGCTTTTAGACTTGCATCAGGAATGTTGGTGTTTAACAAAATGTTCTCTCTTCCAGCTGAAGGAGGAAAAAATGAAGGCTGATCTGGAGGCGCCTCTGCCGGCTGGACAGGAAGACTTTGCGATCCGGTGTCGAGATGTGTGCCGATCGTATGGCAAACTGAAGGTCCTCAACAACCTGAACCTGGCTGTGCCACAGGGACAAATGTGAGTAGATAATACCAACACAGCCTGTTAATTTAGAGCGTTTTAACTGGACAAGATTATAAATTTTCATAACAAAAGTCAAGTGTAAAAATCAAAATGTAAATACTGAGTGAAATAGTAAAATGCTGAAGGTGTTTTACTTCCTGTATCACTAACAGCAACAAATATTTGACTCTTTCTTTTCTTCTTGGTGAGCAGATAAATGCTTAACCTGCAAACAATGCTGACATTTCTGGGTTAGGTGTCGGGACCCAATTCAAGCTGCTCATCTTGCCTTCAATTTTGTCAAGCATCTACTGACTGATTAGCTGTTGAAAGCTTAATTTCCTGCAGGATATTCAGGGTTATCTTTATAAACATCTACATTGTTTCTCAATAAGGCCTTAATGGGAAAATTCCACTATCCCTCAGGGGAAGGAGAGCTTAGCATGACACTGCAAAGAAATTTTCAACCTGATGTGTCGGTGACAGTTCAGCTCTAAGTGCACACATTTTGCTTCTAGTGTCGCTGTCTGTTAGTTCGTTCCGTTGTCAGTTTCTTATAGATGATCTACATTCATTTTTCTCTAATATGAATCTGCATTCTTGAAGTGACAAGTATGACAACAAAGAATGGGGCCACCAAAAACGTTGACCTATACTTTGTGTGCACATGAAAGCATTGTTACATGCTTTCATGTGCACACAAAGTATGTAAGAGAAAATAAAGTCAAATGAACAACCTGGCAAATTCTTGAAGGTTTCTCATGTTTCTTGCTAGCTGGAAATATGTAAAACATGAATGTGAAAAACCAGTAAAACATGCAGACAGAACGAGTGTTACAAAACCCCACTGTGCTCTTGGAATATAACTTATATTGTTCCATTATGTTATTGTTCATTGTTTTAAACCTGAGGATAATTATCTCATTGATTGTAGAATAAGTATAGGCACTTTAACTTTCAAAATAATATAAATAATAAAGTCTTTTATCAAGTTTTTCAAACTTAAACTTAAAAATGTGTTGAACTGTCATTTCTAGACATACCTGATAAAAGTGCATGTGATAACAGAGTGCAGTGCAAACTCTGTGTGATGTATCTGAGACCGTTTGTAGCCTAGATATGAAAAAATACAATTTTTGATGTATCCAAAAATGGCTCTACATGAAAACCACTTTACATTCAGCAGACGTTAGTTGTAAGTTGACATTATGTATGAAAATAGTCACAAAGCCATTGCAATTTGATTTTTTTTAACACTTAGCAGCATTAGCATCTCAGCGTCTTCAGAGGCTGGTATTAGACTGAAACGTCTAAAAGGAAATATCTGTCTCAGATTAGATTCCAGGAACACCTTTTTTCTAGAATGGTGAACTAGTTTCCTTTCAGTTAACTCAATAACCAGAAAGAGCAGCATTCCCTAGTCACATACTTTTGTACTGTCCCAGTGTTTCCCTCTGCAGGATCACGCTTTAAGTTTTATCTGAAATTTTTGTGATTGTGTTTTTCAGTTATGGCCTTTTGGGGCCCAGTGGATGTGGGAAGACCACACTTCTCAAATGCATTGTGGGAACTTTGAAAATCTCACGAGGTCACATCACTGTGCTAGGGAAGCCGCCTGCGTTTCCTGGCCACGATATTCCGGGGAAGAAAGTTGGATACATGCCACAGGTAAAAACCACATAGTATATATTCACATTAAAATGCGTACCTTTGCTCTTGTTTTAATTTTTTGAAATACTCATGTGCCCAAAGATCCTTAACATATTTGAATAAAGCAGCAAATTTGTTGAAGTGACACAAAGGCAGCCCTACCTGGTTTTATTTATTCTCTATTGTTTGGTTGTTCTTAAAAAGCCTGCAAACTTACAATCAAAGTCCTTGCAGCCATTTGTCCGCAGAAGGTTTAAGCAAGTCTGTTCTGTCCAGAAAATTGTCACCCCAACATCCACATCAGCTGCTTTAAAGCCATAAAGATTGTATGAAGCCTTGCTCTGGGGCTTCTGTAATTTGGCCTTTGCTGCAATGAGCCACCTGTACCTGAGTGAGCCCCATTACTGTCATTAGGTATCTGATGAAGTAGATAACACAGCATAGTATTTGTCGTCTTGTGTGTAACCCTGACCATTGCATTCATCCATGCAGGAAGTAATCTGCAACCCAGAGTGGGAGGAATGTGACACCTTGAATGTTTTCTGTTACAGCAATGCGGACAGATGCATCTTTAAACTAGCGATATATACTGCTTTCTTGAAATTGCTGTTGCATAAAAAATGTATATCTGCTGTTATGTAAGACTTTAATCCTTCAACAAAAAGTACCAGCTTTAATCCTTCCCAGGAAGCAAGAAAATAAAGTAAAAGCAGTAAGAGTAAAACAGATGCTAACTTTGTACATGTAATAGATTTACATCCACTGGTGCAGTTGTATTTGTCCTGAGGTGTGCTGGAAATGTTGGTGTTTGTGACTCAATCAGAGCATCAGATATGAGTTTCATTTTCTGCTTTTGTGCTGCACAGGAATTGGCGTTGTACAATGAGTTCACCATTAGCGACACCCTGACCTTCTTTGGCCGAATTCACGGCCTGACATCTAAGGAAACCCAGGCACGCATGAACTTTCTCATTGACTTCCTGGATCTACCTCAGAAGACCAGTCTGGTCCGAAATCTTAGGTAAAAACCACATATGATGCAGCAGTTGACCTTACAGATAGAACGATTTCAAAATCCAATGAGTAAAAGCTGATCTTACCCCGTAAGGTTAAAGTTGTAAGAGTGATCATCATAAAAGCGTATACTAATATTGAAAGTGTTTTTTCTGCAAACAGTGATGTGGTTCATGGATGTTAGATTTGATGCACGGAGATGTGAACTCATGCATTATTTCCCTAGATACAGCCAATTTATGAAGGGTAGCACTGTGCTTTTGCAGATGTCTGTGTGAAGACTTTAAACCCTTAATCTAAAATCTGTATTTATACCACAGGCTGTAAACCCAGGCTCAGTAAAACATTATGACTTTTCTGATAAAACACCAGGTGAAACTCAAGGGCAGTTGTACAGTACATTATATTCCCTTGATTATCACTTTCCATTAGTGGTGTGAGGTTTGACTGATGCCAAGATACCCAATCAAATCTTACCTTGCAAGGCAGCTGGATTCTTGATCACAGTCATGCGATAATCTTATCTTGCCATGTTTAACGCTGTACTCTTATACCAGATCCACAAATGTAACTGTAGTTGTTTAAGGAGCTCCTGGCCAGTAAGGTAGCAGCCATAGACACAGTTTATCTGTGACAGAAGACAGTTGGACAGATGGAGCAGCCACTGACACCAACTAGATGGTTTGGTAGACTAAGGAACTGCTAGGTTTTTAAGTGCCATAGATTGCAGCTTGTTTTTCTTCTTAGGCACTTTCTATCCTCCTTGTGCTATTGATTTTACTGGATGCAGTTAGCATATTGCAGTATCTCCATGACATAATGCTCACATTGCTCAAAAGTAATTTGGCGTACTGGTTGATAGGGAAAAATGTTTATCCCTGACTGGTTGGCAGTGGTTCCTGGAGGTTGCTGGCTGTCACTGGATGAAATCGGTTGCAAAGAAGGTGCTGTACAAAATTGCTTTGGTTGCTAGCAGATTGCCTCATTGCCTGTAATTTTTAAGTTTGTCTGGATATACTCACTATCATCTAGCCAAGTATTAATAAAACTTGAAAATGTACAACGCAAACAGGAAATGGAGAAGATTTGTCTTCAAAGTAAAAGTAGCACCTCCATGCCATTGCCAACATGTTTCAAGGTGCAACTTTTACTTTGAAGGAAAAAAGTAAAAAATGTATCACACTTTTCAGTTTCACTACAGTGTGAGAGTTGCTGGACAGTGTTTGTAGATAAATTCATCACTTTCACCTAAAATATAACCAGTTATAAGCAATGACATGGAATCTTTTGCCAACTGGTCAGGAAATACTCATTGTTGTCAGTGGGTCACTGACCAGTCTGTCGGCCTTTGTGACTGGGCTTTAGCAATCATTTTCCAAGCAACTATCATCAACATTCAGCAACCAGTTGAAATACTCATATTTCCCCCATACAAATGTCATTGCCAACTGGTCACAGATCAGTCTTATGCGTGGCCAGGGCCTTATTCACTTCACCCTACATTGACACCATGATTGCCACACATCCAAAATGGTGTAAAAGTTAATTTTGCCTGATTACTTGTAAAGTGTCTACAAAACCTCAATAGTTAGATATATTTGTCCAAATCCAATAATTTTTTGAAGTAGGCCTTAAAAACATTCAGTTTATGTTGTTTGAGGAACTGTTGGCCGGTTGCTCCACAGCTATGGCTTAATCTTCAGTGTAATCGAAGTCAAATGGATCATCTGTCAACATGCTAACTATACTAGCAAGCTATCCTGACTGCTATTTTTTAATATTTTTCAAGCAGCTCCGAATTCCTGTTTTGAAATGTGGCCCTGGTTTGGAAGTCTTTTATGCAGAGATTTTCTCACAACAACATAAAGAACTGTCTATTGACATGCTAACTATATAGCTAGCTACACTGACTGCTTGTTAGTTTTTAAAGTCTGTCAGACTGCTGCTTGTTTTCCCTAATTTGTGCTTTCTGTAGTGTTTTGCTGATAGGATTGGTTGCGTAACCGATAGTAGATAGACACTGATAGAGAAATGGGTCATTCAATCACATGCCAAGGTTTTTTGAATGCGCCGTATGCTTCAAAATAGTATGCACAGATGACTTTCCAGATGGTTCTTTTTAATAAAGGTCAAATCAAATCTGTCAACAATTTTCTAGTTTAAGTATATAATGAAGTAGACTTGATAGATTACTCAAATTCAGAACCACAGTTAAAGCAATGAGAATTTAGTTTAGTAATGTACTTTGGAGCATTTTGCAGCTATTGTATAAACATTAGCATTTTTCTACTGTGTTTTTCATCAAGGGAAAGTTCCACAAGCCTCCCAAACTATTTTTACCCAGAAATTCAAACCAAAAGTAGACAATCTGGCAACACTGGTTTGCATGCTTTTGTGTAGCCATCAAAGCAAAGGTCCCTAGAGTCCTAGGGATATTATGTGAAATTGCCTGCATATTCCAGTCTCCCCTGCTGTTCATAGGCTGCAGCAAAGTCCCTATTTTCACTGTAAAGACATCAAAGTTTGTCTTTTTCAATCTTATGTGCTTAATATATAATATGTGCCCCAAAGTAAAGAGCTTCTCATAAGCAAGAAAGAATTTATGATTATTCAGAAGTTGTCGCTCTGCATTCAACATCACTCCCACTTGCGTCACCATCCAGACCAAAAGTCTGAGCACCACTACATTGGCAGCTCACTTTGAAACATGCAGCATGATATTTTTTTGTGAACAAGTGATCATATCTGCAGAGTCTTTATGACTAGTATGAAGCCAGCTGCAGCTCTGTTTGCTTGTTGTTATCTAATCACAGTGTCATCCTTTGCACATCAAAAAAGTGAGAGCAAAAAGCCTAATTCTTGAGATGACATTTGCCTTTCTGAGTTCCTGTTTTCCAATCTATGGTAATAACTCCTTGAGGCCTGTTCTTGTTTTTTTATGCTTTTTCAACCAAAAAATAAAAGAATAGTATCCTCCTTTTTACGCTCAGAAGCTTAGTCTGCATAAGCTGTAAAACCTCTGGAAATTATTGAGCGGACTCTTTGATTTAATTTATTTTTAGAAATGTTACTAATTATTCTAACTATAAGAGATATAATTGCTAAAGCTCCGGCAGATCAATGCAAGTGGCAGATTACTTTATGGCCCTTTTATAAGAGTAATCACCATCTCCGGATTCACAACCCTGGTTCAATACAAAGAGCCTTCTGTTGTCCAGGAGGCCCTAACACCAGTTTTCATTAGAGGCTCATTTAATATTCATGGAAAAGTTGGTAAAGATTTTGCAACAGGCTGATGCCTCAGCTTGTTCTTCCCCCATCGTGGGAGAAGATTCACTCTGTTGCCCTTTGATTGCTTTTGTGTTACAGTGGAGGTCAGCGGCGAAGGGTGTCTCTCGGGGCGGCTCTGCTCCAGAATCCAGAGCTGCTCATCCTGGATGAACCAACAGTGGGAGTAGACCCTGTGCTCAGATCCAAGTATGTATAACCGTCTGTCTTCTCCTGTATCATGCAGCACACGTGCACCGTTGTTTTCCAGGTGATGTCACCAAATATTTTCCTGCATAGAGAAATGCTTTTGAGGCGCCAGAACTGAAGGAAGATTACTACCAGTGTAATATAGTTATTTTTTGCCACTTTTGTTAATGAGAGATTTTCATAATTCATGTATAATAGATCTTTTCATTCACACATAATGAGAAATAAAAGAAAAAGTTGTTGATCCTAAAGGGCAAAATAGAAACCCTGCTGTCAAGCACAGCTAGCAAAAAATCATAAACTAAAAAAAGACATCAAATTAAGAGATTTATAAGAATGTATCATTTTAAAAATCATTTTTAAGTCTATGGCATGTGCACCAGTTCCAATCCCTTCAAAAGTCCTTACAAAAACATATTTGTGATTTTTTTTAACATTTGTACAATAAATAAAACTATAAATGTTATCTTTAACCAAGCTGAGGACTCTAATGCAGGACACCACTCAGTAAAGGTTTGCAGATTTCACTACAAAAGTCAGAGAATATTGCAAGGAGGGAAATGGGGAATCCTGAGGTGGAAGGCGCAGATGCAGTGGTGCTAGAGGCTTGGCAAGTGAGCTGCTGGGCAAGTCCAGGGAGCACGGGGCATGTCTGTGAGTGGCGGTGAGTGGACAGGCAGAGAATCCGAGAAGCTGAGGTGATGTGCAATCGTTTGCACAGGGCGACAAACCAAGGTAAGACTAGTGAAAAACATGAACCTAACAAGAGAACGGGAAGCCTGAGCAATACTAACATACCAGTAGACAGAGCAGTCAGGCAACAAGTGAGAGGACAAGCCTGAGCTCATTTGCAACAGGTGCAAATGCTGCATTTGCACCTGTTGCAAAGATGCAGGGCCAAAAGGGCCAAAAGGAAGCCGCTTGACCAGACACACACCCACCCTGGGAAAGAGAAGCCAATAGAACGCAAGAAGATGAAGAAGTTCCTAACTTTTGTTTTCAAGGGGCAGCCTATCAGATGAAGATTACTTAAATGGACAGTTGTGTTTTCCTATATTACGGCATAATTAAATATCTTTTTTATCCAGTTTCCTCTCTTTTGAGAGCCCACTGGCATCTTTATATTTTTCTATATAGACAAAAGTTAACACTACAGTAAAATTACATTTCCACTAAGATCTCTGCATGGATTTATCATTCTCTCTCTTATTTACTCAACAAGATGGCTAATATTTAATAAAGTTTTGATAAAAATGTGATAAAGGCTACACCCATATTCATGCATCGATAAGCAAACACTGGTGAAAGCATACTGTACCCCCCAAATGTGTTACTCCAGTGTCATTGTGTAATCACAAAGCCTCTTAAGATCAGACGGCTGGCAGCAAAGCTGTTGCTGGCACAGCTGCGATTTTGAAGCAAACTCCATTACTGAGTGGGTCAAGTGTTTCAAGGATTTTTTTCTGTCTTCTTTCTAGGATCTGGCATCACCTGGTAGAGATTGTGAAGACGGGAAAGGTCTCTGTTATTATCACCACACACTACATAGAAGAGGCCAGGCAAGCCAATGTGGTGAGTTAAAAGGTTGCTGAATAAATATGAACATGTTAAACACATAAATTAAGGGGAAATGGGACTTATTCAATAGAAAATCAGTCGTGTCTATGAATGTGTGTGTTGATTCCTGTTTTGTTTTTACTCTATAAATCGTTTGTACTTTTTGGATTTTCTTGAATCCAAAGCTCAGTAAAGGTTCACTTGTAAGTTCTCCTGTCTGTAGGAAAAACATAAAAATATTTTTATTTTAAAGTTAAGATTAAATGGCTGGTTGGCCTTGAAGTTGAACCTTTGCAACAGAAGAATGAAATGTGTGCTTAAGACTTTGCATACTCTGAACTCCACCCTGTCAACAAACAAATCCAGGTGCTATAAAGAAAACACAGAGAACTGAAAGCCAGGCAGGCACACACAGTCATCATCTCTTTGTAAACCTTATAGAATAGAGTCGCTCTAAAGGTCAGCAGGGCTTTCCAGACTTTAGCTCCTCATATTTACAACATATTTCACTCATGGTGAAACTAATGCTTGGCTCAGCACAAATCCATTCATTCACTGAGTTCATTCATTGTTTCACCAGTAATCTCCTTTGAATATATAGTCTGTAAAACCACATTTTTTCAGTATAATGTTTATACTCTCAATTTTGGCAGAAGCATCATATTTGCTTGTGCATAGCCTATGAAATTTTGTTTGCAAATGCATAAATTTGTGCAATGAATTTGTAAAAATATTGATGCCATTTAGTTTAAATTTAACTTGAAGACTGGAAGCAGATTGGGGACAAACTGTATAGGGACAGTTTTGTAAAGCTGAAGCTGCTGGCAAGGAAATGTGCAACACAAAGAGCAGTTTTCAGAATACGTGCTGTTTTCACTGTCTCTACCTTAGTTTATAATGAGCTAATCAATAAATTGCTGAAGAGCTGAAGAGATTTACACAGTAGCTCGTGTAACCACAAGTGTCAAATGAAGAGTCAAACATTAGACAATGGCTCATACTTAAACCTACACTTGTACCACTATTGCACTGCTAATAGCTCTAGACAACAGTACAAAACAACCGATTGATTTATTGATTGGTTTTCTATTAGTTGAACGTAACATGTAAGGTCTCTCTTCTCTAAGTATCAGGTAAACATGTAGAAATCTTACTTTTTATAAGATTTTAGAATAACTCTATCAGTCTCTCGCAACATTGGCACAGTCTTCTTTATGGCATCATTTGCAGTTTTTTGAGGTTTTGCGGGAATTCATTTATGCATAGCTCTCTTTATGTCCTGCCACAGTCGGGTTGAGGTCTGGAGTTTGACTGGGCCATTGCAACATCTTTCTTCTTTTCTTTTTCAGCCATTCTGTCATAGATTGGCTGGTGTTCTTGGGATCACTGTCCCATTGTATGAGCGAATTTTAGCTAGCAGACAAACGGCCTCATGTTCGACTCTAGAATACTTATGCAGAGGAGTTCATGGTATACTCAGTGACTGCAGGGTTCACAGGACTTTTGGCTACAAAACAAGTCTAAATCATTGCCCCGCCACCAATGCATTGACAGTATGTATGCTGTATTTGTGCTCGTGTGTTGAATGTGGTGTTGTGCATTATAGCTGAACATCTCCACTTTGGTCTCATCTGTGCAAAGGTCATTGTTCCAGAGGTTTTGTGGTTTGTTCAGATGCAACATTGAAAACCGTTGAAAAGTTGTGCTGCCATGTTATTCTTGGAGAGAATTTCTCCAGGCAACCCTTCCAAACAAGCCATACTTGTTAAGTCTTTTTGTAATTGGACTGTCATGGACTAACATTTAACGCGCTGAGCTTGTAGAGTATGAGATGTACTTCTTACGTTTCTTTGATCACTGTCTTACCTTTGGGCAGAATTGCTGGGATACCCACTCAAGAATATTCAATTTCAATTTCACTTCAATTTTATTTGTATAGCACCAAATCACAACAACAGTCGCCTCAAGGCGCTTATATTGTGGCCATTTGTTAATGCAGTGCTGAGGTGTCACCTGTCATAGAAGTGGTCACATTTACTAATCAGTTAATCAAGTTTATGTCTGCACTTGGCTGCTACTTACTCTCTTAATTCCTTTGTTTTTCCAAAGTTTACTGTCTTTCATTTTCACATGACTGCAAATTCACCACCGAGGCAAGGGCATTGGAAGGTCAGGTAAAAGTTTTGTGATGGTAGGAATTCCACAGAAATTCCACAGTCAGAAGTGGTGATGGTGGCTTCACACAGGACTCACAAAGTTCAAGCACTTTATCTGTGTCACAATCATTATAACCTGGATCCAGAACATCTCCACTAAAACCAGTCTGCCCACTCAGTCTTATCAGGCATGTCTCCATTTTCACTTAAAACGATATCTGTGTGAAGGACTGAGACAAATGGGCTTATTTGTTCCTGTCTTCGTGATACTTTGACAGAAGTATGTCAACTGACGGAGCACCCAGTGGAGCAATGCATCACTCCACAGCTGAGGAATGAGCTTTTACCATGTCAACATGCTTCTTGCATGCACAAATCTTTTGCTTTCTGGTATAATAAATAAACTCTGATCACATAGCAGCTGCAGCCTTTGTTTATCCATGTTTGACCCACTAAAAAAAGACTAATAGGATAAGAGTACCATTCACACACAACAGAATAAGAAGTAGTTTGCTATTTTGTAGATGGCTAACAAATCCACTGTTTGGCTTATCCTGATTTACCGCTCTTATACAACTTTAGAAGCTTATTCAGACAGCTGTGTGTTTTGGCTCCCTGACAACAGCTGTATGCGATACACTTTGGATTTCTATTAAGATAAGAATTAGCATTTCTTTTGCAGAAGATAAAAAAACATACATTTAACATTCATTCAGCAACATTCAGTGTGTGTGTGTGTGTGTCTGTGTGTGTGTGTGTGTGTGTGTGTGTATCTATAACAAAATAAATCATCTAATTATAAATATATGATTATTTATTAGTACCCTTTTTATTTATAACTAAATAAATAATTGCCAAGAAAAAAAATTAAGTCACTCGTTTTAAAAAGAGAACCTCTCTCTTCTTTCTTTTTCCCGTCGTATAGGTCGGTCTCATGCGACACGGCCGGTTGCTGGCTGAAGGTCCCCCAGATGCCGTCATGAAGCAGCACTGTGCAACAGTGAGTACTCTCAAATCCCAGTACAGACTGTGTGGGTGCCCAGGGGTGGTGATAGTCAAGGCATGGAGGTTGTTTAGTTTGCTTTTTGCTTTACATCTTATGTTGATATGAATAAAAGTTAACAGTGAACTTTTTTTCCTCTTGCAATTAAAACTATGGCTGTGGCACGCTTTCATAGTAAACCCTCCAAATACACAGGAGGCTAAAAAAGGATTGTGAATTTTAGCCCATATTATCCGTCCTTCAGACCCTGGAGCATGCCTTCCTGCAGCTGTGTGAGACGTCAGACCAGGTCGGCTCTAAACGCGATTCCAGTTCTCCAGATGGAACGTTAGACAAAAGCCAGTCATTTGAGAATGGGAAGGATGAGAGTCAGCCAATTCTTGGAGTCGGATCTCCACCTGCAGAGGAAAGCCTCAAATGTTCAGGTACTGTCATGTAGCGTGTTTTCTTTTTCTACCTGTGCATATCATTTAACAATGGGCCAGGAGTTTTATAGCGCTTCTTTAAAATCAGCTGCTTCTGACATCAAAAAGTAAAGGTACGGGGAGTGGATGATAATAATAATATAATTGCAGGTCAGGTAGATAAACAATGAGTTGAAACTCACTAAAGCTTTTTAAAGAGGAGGCACAGATTAAGGTAAACATTTTAACCGCTGCTGTTTTAAAAATATAAGTTGCAGTCACTTATATTGCATTTTTGTGTTCAGTGGACTGGAAGGTGCGAGCCAGACATGTGCTGCCAAAGTGGAGGAACATCGCAGCCCTGATGATCAAAACATTGGTGCGGATGAAGAGAATGCCGGGGTATGATGCAGTTAACAGAGGTTATTTGTCACTGTCTATAAGTAACCACTTCATTACACTTTATTTTCTACTCTGTGTTGGCAGCTCTTTGTGTTTCCAGTTCCTGCTGCCCGTCATCCAGGTCTCCCTCATCTGTCTGTGTGTCGGAGGAGATCCAAAGGGCATCCAGGTTGCTATAGTGAACAATGAGACCTCCCCCTCTGCTTTCAGCCAATCATTCCTCTCCTTCCTGGACAACTCGAGTGTGCAGCAGGTATTTGTTTTGGCCCTAAGAGATATGAATCCTTATCAGCTGTGATGACCTTTGGATTCTGAATTTGTTGACTTTTCCTTTGTTACTGTAAATCTGCTGGTAGGTTGCACATGAGAAAGTGAGTAAGTACAATTTTCAAAGTAGCAGACTTCTTTCTCAGCTGTTAAAATCTATTTTCACTCTAAGCAAATGAGTTTCACAAAGGAACAAACACCAGGACTTCCCATTTCTGGGAAATCATTGAAGAGGAAAGATTGTTTCTCTCTGTAACAGAACCATAGCTGTTCAACAAACTGTAACATACATAATGTGCAGAAACTTTAATTGATTTAGTCTGACCTTGTGCGGCAGATGGTGAAGTTCAGACTGGTTGAGGAAACATGGTGTAGCATATGGTCCATCTGCATTTGAAAATGAAACTTAGAACATAGAATGAATTGAACCTGCTTCTTTTTTTTTATCTGCAGGTGAACTTGTCCCACAAAGAAGCTTTTGAGGGAATCTATAATGGAGAGTACTGGAGTGTAATCGGCTTTGGCAAGAACTTCACCAGCTACCTGACTAAACGGTAAGGGAGAGAGCGTCATGGGCCGAGCTGATGTGCTGGATCAGCATCTGTAACTGATGTTATGACTGCAAAACATGTCTGCACTCAATGTTCATTGCCCTCATGTTACTTTAGAAAAAAATGATTGACATACCTTTGAAATACAAAGACGTGGGATAAATAGCCGCACTGGCATTGGAGGCGTCAGAGCAGATGAGTTGAATAAAACTGCATTGTGTGACCTAAATGTTTGACATTTTTCTTAGTTAGATTAGCCAACATTTCATGTACATGTTATATTTGACCTGTTTATGACAAGTGTCAGCTTGAGGATGTTGCTTGTTTTCATGTACCTTTGCAAACAAACAACCTGCTGCCTTTTTCTTCCTCATTGCCCTACTTTTGATAGTTCCCTTTCAAGCAGCACATGCTGATGTCATGCACCTACACGTGGGCAGAACAGGCTGTGTACAGACGTTTGTGTTTGTCAGTGGGGATTCTCAGTAGTCAGGCAAAGCAGACAGATTTTGAAGACGAGTCTTTGTAATGCATGGCAGCATTCCAGCTGCATATCACAAACATGCTAAACACCGACACGAACAGTCCACACCTCAGGGAACACCATGCACCTATTATATACCTTAACAATAATTTCACAAGTTGGTGATTTACTTACTTAGAAATTCGGATTGGAGGATGGTTGTAGACTCTTTGGAAACTTTGACATGTAGACTGGAAGATTTGCACCAGCCTCCATTATAATTATAAAAATCTTCACAATATATCCAACTAATATTTCCCCTGGTGATAGTGCATAAAATCCAGCGTGTGGTTTGCATTAAGAGAAATTATGACCTCAGGTAAATCAGTGCAGCTTTCTTGTTGCCAGTGAAAACAAACAGCATGACTGACGTGATCAAACACATCAGCCCTGATGTGTTATGCATAAAGGTATTTGTGCAATCATCCGGAGGAAAGTACCAGATTCTTATGGATCTGAAATACTGAATTAAAATGTTTTCAGTCCCAGTACACAGCTTCCCAAAAATATCCCAATAAATGTTTTTATATTTGTTTTAATGAGCATTACAGCAAATAATATATCATTTATTTATCTGCTTCTACTTAAAAGGACCACATAAATCAGCTTAATATCTTGCTTTTCTAAGTGGCTTTAAAACCGTTTTTATTAAAATGTTTAATATGTTCTTCTGATGGTGAATTAATCTGAAAGTAAATTTTTTTCCACATGCACTCTCTGTTGTTTTGATACACATAAAAGCTCACAGAGGCCACACCACACCAACTCACACCTCAAAATCATGTGAAGGTGAGTCATTGCAGCAGGGTTGTTGTTCAGTCATGAGTCACAGCGTGAGACTGCAGGGTGGACAGTCTGGTCCTTCCTGTCCGCAACACACCTGAGCAGGTTGCATCTTAGCACCGACCAATAAGATCTGACCCACCATTATGACGTTTTTTTTTCATCTTTTTTCTGGATTAATTTCAAAGCTGTGATAAATTCCCTACTGAGGTTTATTCTTCAAAAACAGCTTTTGTTTATGGCAGTTGGTGGCTATATTTTAACTCCTACCTTTCCACTGCCTTAATATGGTGGCACATATATAGATGGAAAGTCTAAGATACAGTCATTTGAAATTGAAAGTACATCCTCTTTCAGTTGTGAGGAGCTGGACATGACATGGGGCGAGAGGCAGGGTACAGGTGGCCTGTTTATCACAGGACTAACAGAGAATCACACTCACATTCACACCTATGGGCAATTTTGAATCATTAATTACCCTAACCCAAATAATTGCATGTCTTTGGACTGTGGGAGGAAGTCGGAGAACCCACGCAAACACGTAAAGTCCGCACTGAAAGGCCGCGGCCAGATGGTGGAGTTGAACTCAGGACCTTCTTGCTGTGAGGCAACAGTGTTAATCACTGTGCCAGGAAATAATTAAAAAAAAATTCACCAGGCCTTTATCAGGATCTACGATAATTTAGATATAACCTCAGATGAACAACTTGTGATACATTACAAAGACTGATAAATAGATTTTTACAACAATCACAATAACCTTTATCAGACTTTATCAGTCTTTCACGTTGTTGTGAAGGGATTTTGGCCCAGTTATCACTTCAGCTCATCGAGGTTCGCACACATTCATTTATGCACAGCTCTTTTATGAACCCTCAACAGCACAGGCTGAGGTCTGATCTGGACTTTGACTGGACCACTGGAACACCTGCTGGTGTTCTCGGGATCATTGTTGTGTTTCATTTCAACCAAGCTTTGTGGCACAGATGGACTCACATGCACTCACATTCTTCCACAACCTCCTGGTTTGTTCAGATCCAACTTTACAAACCTAAGCTCTGCTCTTACGTTCTACCAATCTACCAGTAGATTTTTGTAAAAGCCTAACTAGGGACAAGGCAGAAAATTTCCTGTAGCTACAAACTCTCTGTGCAGCACACCAGTTTCATACTTTGTAATGGAACTATGTTAAAGTGCAACACCCTTAATCAAAATTTTAATCTATGCACTTACGCAGACAGTAAGTTTGTCCAAGTGAGACCATCTGAAATAAATACTTTAAGGAATTACAGGCTACACATATCTGACACGCATTATTCAGTTCACTGGTATTCAAGAACAAAGTTACAATTTAGTAATAGTAAATTACACGTGGTTCAATGCTCTCAGTGGCTCAGCTAGACTTGAGGCATTGCTTTAATTGTGTCAGAGAAATAATAATTAGCCTGGCTGACCTTCTGAGTTTTAAATAGTGCTACCAGCCTGCAGTCACATGCATGCATGACTCTGTTTATTAATTCACTTGGCTGCTTAGTTTATAAGGTCATACACTCCTTTCATAAGGTTCCATATCAATAACCAGATTCCTTAGGAAAAAAATGAATATTTATGTTCCTATGCACCTTCCTCAGGTTCACCGGGTTTGTAGTGTCCCAATGATCAAATTCTTCAACCTGGGTCACTGAGATTAGATTTCACTATCACATAGTTCAGTAGTGCTTTATCTGTCTCTATCTGTCTCTCTCGTATGCTGTCTATCATTTAAACTTGTCCTGCCAGACAAATTTAGAAAACGTGCAGATTCTGCAGATTATCACTCACTTTTCAGCTTGTCATTGCGATATTTACATTCTAGTGTTTTGTTAGATAGACTGAGGTTCTACTTTTTTCTGATCATAATTCTGGTTCCTTATTGCACAGGATGCTCCAGCGGCAGGTCTCTCAGGAGATAATCGATGGAGGATCAATACACGTCTGGCTGGACCAGACAAGTAAGATACAAAATTTTTGGATAATTGTTGTTGAATGAAACATACTGTGTGCTTTATTTATGTTATACTAGTGTATATTGTACATATAGGATTCTCACATACATCAAATTCCGGCATTACATCAAACTACTGCTTGTCACTGGTGGTAGTATGAAATGGTACCTGCAGATCATTCGGTCTGCACAAGCAGACCTCTTTGTATTAGATATTAGTACCATGTCTGCTGTTAGGTAGTTTACTGTCAGACCATAAACTGGTGCAGTAGGTTCATCCTGGTGGAGGGCAATGCTGAGCCTCATATTGTCACGATCCTGGGTCTTTGACCCAGCGTTTTAAGTTTTAGGTAATGTTTGATGTTTATGGTTTATTTTCAAGTTCATTAGATTACCTAAGCTCATTTACGTTTCCCTCACCCTTTGTCTGTGAGGCTGTTTTGACTGCATGTCTTATGTTATCAAGTTTGTATTGTCATGTCTTCTTCACATGTTTCCTGTTTTATTTTGAAAGAGTGTGGTGTTCTTTGTTCATTGTAGTTAGTGTTACTCTCCCCTGTATTGTCATTATGTTTCATTCTAGTCAGCTGTGTTCTCATGTGTCTCCACTTCCCCTGATCACCTCATGTGTGTATTTAAGTCCTCAGTCTTCCTTTGTTCGTCGTCAGGTCGTCTGTTTTTCTCGCCATAGTCACAGCCACAGCCACAGTTAGCTTTCATAGTTTGTTCCCAGTTTAGGTTTCTGTTTAGTTATTGCTCTTCTGCTGCCCTCATTCTCGTTTGTTTCTTTCGTGATCATCAGCCACAATAAAAGGCTCGCTTTTGTTTAAGTTCACTCCCTTATCCTCAGTTGTGTTCGCACCTGGGTCCACCACACACATCTCCACACGGTCTGTCTCCACAAACCGTGACACATGTGGCCAAAGTGTACAAGTAATTCCTAAATGGGACCTCACATATTGGTGCATTCCAGTGCAGCCATAGACTGTCCAGGAGCTCACTGATACTCCAGGTCAGGGAGAAGATCCTCATAGGACACCGTAGACCTTCTAATCAGGAGTATGCCCAGATGTCATGTGGGGGCCATGTATACTTCTAAGACAGATAACACAAGCTGGCCTCAATCTGTGATTTCAATTTCTGATTTCTGGTATAATTTTAAATCCAGCCCTTAAAAGGTCAATAAGTTTGGTTTCTACTCTATGTCAGCAAAGATTTTCAACCTGAATATTTCATTCATCAAGATCTGATGTGTGATTTACATGCTCCCTTTAAATTTTGAATGGTGAACATTAAAAAATGACTCTGACAAGACGAAGGTGCTCATGTTTTTCCCTTTTTTTCATTCTTAGATCGGCAAATTGCCCTCATGGTGCAGAAGAAACTACACCAGGCCTTCCAGGTACAAATATGATGTGAAGTCTATGCTGTATACATAAAATATCCATGTTTCAGTGAACAAGAGCCATCACTGAGCTTTTAGCCACAGCTTAAGAAGCCTGGTTGTTGATTGAGCCCATAAAGTTATCAGGACAGCGTTTACTGCTGGCCATTGGAAAATAACCTAACTTTTCAAACACCTCCCATCTTTTTTAAGCGGTCTGTGGACGAGAGCCGTTGTGAACTAGAATTATGTAAACAACATTAAACTGATTTGAATATTTAATGAAAATACTTAAAGATGATAAAGAGTAGCCCTGATTTTTTCTTAAAAAAACAGATGCATCACTTATGTTTTGCCCTCTGTCTGCAGGCATTTGTGGATTATAAACTGGGTGGCATGGCATATATGGTTGCCTTACCAATAAAGGTAAGAGAGTTTATGGAAAAAAGCAACTGAATGTAATTAAATACTGTAAATAATTAAATGTATATGAATTTATACATGCTGCATAATAAAGTAAAATAAACACTCTTGATTTCTTCTGCTAGTTTGAGGAGCCAATCTACGGCAGCCAAAACACAGACTTTACTACATTTGTGACCCCTGGAGCTGTGCTCAGGTCAGTACACTGTGTGCTGGTTAAAGTATAGGGTAGTAGACACCTTACTATACCTGTGTCGGGGTGATTGTGGCTCAAGAGTTGGGAGTTCGCCTTGTAATTGGAAGGTTGCCGATTTGAGCCCCGGCTTGGACAGTCTCGGTCTGATTGCTACACATGTTCACTGCTTGCATGCGCTCTGCTTTCTTGACACTCTCCAGTGTGTCATTACACATACAGCCATCTTCAGCAAGCCCTTCTGCTTCTACACCTCTTTTCAACTCATCTTTTTACTTCTTTACCTCTTTTCAGCAGAACTTCTTCTGATTCACCTCTTTTCTGCCAAATGTTTAGCCTTTTCACCTCTTATTAGCACAATTCTAAGCAGCTTCTGCTAATTTCACCAGCATTGTCAGTCTCTCCACCTCTTCTTTGTGAGAATGACTGTGGTGCAGTGAGATGAGAACCTCCCTTGAGTACCAGAAGTGCCAGGTTCGAATCCTGCTCAGGACAACATTTTTTTGGGTTTTTTTTTTCCAACTTTCTCAGCTTTTTTCAGCAGACATCTTCAGCGTG